GCTCAGGTCATGATCCTGGAGTCCCTGGATCGAGTCCCGCATCGGGCTCCCTGCTCGGCAGGGAGTCTGCTTCTCCCTCTGACCCTTCCCCCTCTCATGTGCTCTCTCTCATTCTCTCTCTCTCAAATAAATAAAATCTTTAAAAAAAAAATTAAACTAGATTTTAAAAAGGAATAAACATTAAATTTTTTCATAATTATAATTTTCATAAAATTGGTACTCCTGAATTAAAAATAAAGAAGCAAAATAATATTTAAGAACTCTCATTTTGGGGATGCCAGGGTGGCTCAGTTGGTTAAGCATCTGCCTTTGGCTCAGGTCATGATCCGAGGGTCCTGGGATCGAGTCCCGCACTGGGCTCCTTGTTCAGTGGGGAGCCTGCTTTTCCCTCTGCCTGCCACTCCCCCTGCTTGTGCACTAGCTCTCTCTCTGACAAATAAATAAAAATTTTAAAAAAGGAATTCTCATTCTCATTTTTAGGGGCACCTAGGTGGCTCCACTGGTTAGGCATCTGACTCAATTTCAGCTCAGGTCATGATCTCAGGGATAAAGCCCCATGTCGGGATCCACCCTAGGTATGGAGCCTGCTTGAGATTCTCTCTCTTTCCCTCTCCCCCTCCACCCCCTTCTCTCCCTTTCTAAAAAAAAAAAAAAAATTCTCATTTTTAGTAATTTAGTTCAATTTAGGAGATGAGTCTTTCAAGAAAGTCTTATTTGGGACTTGTTCATATCTTGTGAGGATGAACTAAAAGCAGAATGTCAATGCTGCCATCTCCAAATTTCTTGAGAGGAGGAATATCTCCTAAAATCACATACAGCTTCATTAAATATCTTTGATCCATACAAATTTCAGATTGGTTATTGTTCTCCAGAAATCCCTTCTATGATGATGTCAGCTCTGAACAAATTATGAATTTAACTGTTGTCATTTGCCATTCAGCCAAATTAAGTATTCAACACAACTCTAGGTTAAAATACTTACATCTGGGAAAAAGACAAGCTTGATTTTATAAATAGATTTTCATTCTCCTCAACTAGTAACAGAAGCAAGGCCAAATAAAATAAAATGTGCATAACTTATTATATACTAAATTTCTTAAAATTACCATAAAACAAAACACACTTCATGTAGAGAAGCTCACCTGTACACAGCAAACTATAAGACTACTGCTGAGCAGGAGTTTAACAGATCCAAAGCAGAAGCAGGGATTTCTGAATACACAGAGACTTAATAGTGTGTGTGTGTGTGCGTGTGTGTGTGTGTGCCTTTGAAGCTTTCCTGTAAGCTCTCATTCACCCTAATTCTAAGCAGCTTGCAAATGTAGTAGTTATCAAAACCTAAGGGGTGCTTCCAACAATTTCAGAAATTAACTTTACATTAAACTATTCAGATAAAACAAGGGAAACTTGTTTCCTTCTCTTTTCTACTTCTCCACCCCAGACATTTAAAAGTAGTCAATTCATCATCATTTATCACTTCTGATTGTATGTTTGTATGTGTTTATCTTGAACCTGGGACCACATCCAGCTAATGTCTAGAAAGGGGACAGAAACAGTGATATTCTGTTTATAAGATATATGTTAATGATCCAGTTACTTAAGGATAGCTTCAGTTCTGGATTAGAGTTATATTAAATATGTTATACATATAAAATATATATATTTAATATTTTATTGATATTATATGAACAATTATTAACATATTTTTATGTATATACTTGAAGGTTTGTTTAGCCTATGCACCTGAGGTAAATTTTAAGAATTGTGATTATCTGAAATTTAAACATCTGTGAAGGCAGTGATGTTTTCTTTTTTTTTTAGATTTATTTATTTAAGAGAGAGAGAGAATGTGTGAGCGGGGGGTGGGGAGGGGCAGTAAGAGAGGGAGAGAGAGAATCCCAAGCAGACTCCATGCTGACGGTGGAGCCCAACAGGAGCTAGATCTCATGACCCTGAGATCATGACCTAAGCCGAAATCAAGAGTCAGAGGCTTAACTGACCTAGCCACCCAGGTGCTCTGGCAGTGATGTTTTCTTTACTAAAGATTGGAATCAAGGCATAAAGCTGAGGTATGTGCAAAAACTTCAGTATAAATGGTAGTCAACTTAAACATGTCTCATTACCTAAAATATACAAGTTAAGTCACATGAACAAAGTTCTTCAGATGAACCCAAAAAAAGGAAAAAAAGAGTTTGGGTTTTTTTTTTTTAACATCTTTAGTATATGAAAAAATATTTTCCATTCTTTTCGCTGGAAAGGAAGTCAGGAATATTTTAGTAAAGTTCTTATAAGTATTGTCAGTGAGTTTGTTACGTAGCAATAAAAGGCAAATGACATGTCTCTCGGACAACTGTCTGAAAGACGATTAAAAAGTGTACTGAAATTCAGAAACGGGACAGTTTACTAATCTTAGCCATTACTTAATAACACAACACAGAGAAGCCAATAATGGAACATACCTGGTGAACCTGAATTTCCACTTTAAGAGCCTCCTGTAGAGTCTGCAACTCCATCCTCCACCTTTCCACTTTATCTTATGTCTGCTAATTCTACAGTTTCTTCAGCCTCCGTTTAAAATAACAAACTCCTCTTCTCACTGCAGCTGTGGAGATCATAAAATGTTTTGGATCATGAAGGAAATATTTGTGTTAAATAAAAGAAATTACATTAGTTGAAAATTATTTGATACTCTAACACAGAGCAAGAAATTTCCCAAACAGATTTCTTTCCAAAATGAATAGTTTTGTACCGAATTAGTACCAAAACTTTCTGGGTTTTATTCATTGAACATTCCTCCACAGAATACTTCAAGTAAGTAAGAAATGGGGGCAGGGAGTGTTTAATCTAGTCATGAAAACATCTAAGCATGCTTACATGCCCAGCATCGTGATACATACTACATTCTGAGGATACAGAGCTGAACAAGACCACTTCTCCTTTAGATGAGCTGAGAATCTAGAGGGCGAGACTACAACCATCCAGGACACACTGTCCTTAGAGACACATAACAACAGGGTCATACATTTTTAAACATCACACAGAGTGAACTGGAAAGTTCAGGGTCTCTCAGAGGTTAAAGAAGACCAGAGTACTTTCATCTGGATGGATTCTTACTCTATTTTAAAAATAAAACTCAAAACAGGAAAATTCTCGTATCATTTAAAGATTCACATTTAACAAATTAATACTTTACATAGATACAATGCAATTGAACTCTGCTTTGCATAACGTTACGACAGGATGTTAAAAAATAAACCTCTCATGTATAATAGAGGTGGCAGTCTAGCAATGGATCAGACATTTCCATCTTGACAATGAACACCATCTTCTTCAAGCCTGCCAGCGCATCTCTTTTAGTTGTGTGCATAACTGCAAGTGGTAATAACGTCAAAAGTCTAGACTTGTGAATGTGAGCCTTCCTATTCTGCTCTGCTCATCACCACAATTTAAATGAACTCAATGGCTAATTTCTCTTTTAAGTTTTTTCTTTTTTCTTGAATGTGGCCTTAGACATGATTTGAGGTAACCTCCCAAAGCAAAAGTTTGCTTTTGCCAAAATACATTTAAACTTCACTTCTTTCCCTTCTCTTTGTACCTATAAAACCTGTAGCTAGAGCAGCTTTGCAGCATTCTTACAAACTGAGGAAGGGAACAATCAGGAATCTGAAAGAACCACTACTCCTTAAACCAATTCAATGAGATTCATAATCTTTACACTTCCCAAAAGTTATTTATCTATGGATCAAGTCCATATTCAACCTAAGTTTTCTTAAAACTTCTTTAAAACCTTATTTAACACTTACAATGGAATCATTAACTACAGAATATATTGCTGTGAATATTAATTTTCATTAAATTTGCTTAATCTTGCTAGACTTAAAACATCACTGTCTATCTCTCCCTTACGATCTATATACTATGTTATGTAACACCAAAACACTCTAACTTAAAAAACAATAAATTTCAAAAATATAAAATTCCTTCAAACTTAACATTTGTGAGGCTAGGAAAGGATTACTATACAATGATACTATCAACCAAAATAGGCAGTATTTGTATAGGGGAGACCATTTGGAAAAGGAGATATGTTTCGATAAGCTACAAAAGCAATTTTTTAGCTACGTATTATCTTAGAAAATCTATGGAACTGTAATAAATAACTAAATATCAGAATCATGAAGTTACTAAGGTTTTTGTTGTCATGTAAGTTTACTCTATATACAAAAGCAAATGTTAAAACTATAGTATCACTTTAATTTTATTTTTTTCTAAGATTTTGTTTTTAAGTAATCTCAATACCCAACAGGCAGTTCGATCTTACAACCCTGAGATCAAGAGTCACATGCTCCACCGACTGAGCCAGCCAGGTGCTCCCCCTTTAATTTTAAATACTAAAATAATCTTCCTATTTGAATTTGTAACTTATACATATTAGAGTTCAACTTGAATTTGTTGAATTAGTTTTAATTTTTGCAAGGTTCTAATCAGAAAACATATCTAAAAATGCTTCCTTATAATTTTTGTCAAATTAAGAATCAACTTGAAGTTAAAGGGGTATTTTCAACAATAAAAAGGCCTTATTTGATTTTACTGGTAGTAACACAGAACATCATAGTTCAACTCAACATATAAACTCTGGAAACAAAGAGCAGATTAAAAACATGGAGAACTTACAATATAGAACTTACAACATACACAACAAAGGGTTAACATAATTTATACATTAGAGTGCTCACAAATTTTAAAAATATGAAAAAGCAGCTCATAGAAGAGTAAGAATGACCAACAAACATGAAAAACATCCATCTTCAATAGTCAAAGAAATGTAAATTTTAAGAAGATAAGTTTTGTCCATTAAACTGACAAAGATCTGTAGAAACAAGAATACTCTGAGCTGTCAGGAGTTTGGGTCAAGTGGCACTTTCATAATTTGCTACTGGTTATCTCTGGGTGGTAGTACAAGGGTTATTTACTTTCAGTTTTTCAGAGTATTGATGTTTTGACATTTTTCCACAGAAAATATGCACTTTTTTTAAAATTAAAAAAAATTAACTGAGGATGGCTAAAGCCTCGGAAAATTTGATACTGATGAAACAAAATGTTCAGGAAAAGAAAAAGTAAAACCAGGATTTAACCTGGAGGCTCTAAAATGTCAAAGAGTGCCTCGCAGGATAAGAAGCCTGTAACTCAAGTTAATGAGGAGCTGACAGCTTTTATTCCTTCATCAGATTGTTGTCTGCTTATTAGAGACAGAGAAAGGCACAAAATTTTATTTGGCGATGACTAAATGCCAATTATTCATTTTATTTCAAAATAAAACTGAAGGGTTAAAAAAGTTAGTGACTTGTTATAGAAAAACTTATGAAGGATTATAAGATTCATTTTATATCCTACTTCTTCAAAAAGTTCTCTTTCTGGATAGCAGTTTTAAGAGATTGGTCTCTACCTAAAGGAGCACATTATATACATATATTTATAGCTTATAAAAACAAGGCAAGCACATGTTGAATCCTTTTAAAAAATATTTTGGGGGTTTAGACAACTTATGCAGCTGTCGTAAGACGACTATTTGGGGGCAGTTTATAGCATCATAAAAAAAGTTTTATTTGCTAAATTTGTAAAAAGATGATTTATCATATTTTGAAAAATTCCAGTAAGTTACAACTAACAAATCAGTTGCTACAAGGTAAATATAAACAGACTCACAAAGCAGTAATAGACACACTTTACTGAGGTACAATGCCTTTTACCACCCAGCAGCTCTAAATGCTACCATCAGAGAGGGCAATTGCCTAGCACAAGATACCAACATTTGTTATCTTCAGAACCGTACATATCAAACTACTGGGACACCTAGCGGCTTCTCACCTTCAAATAACATAAAACCAAAAACAGGAACAAATAAAAACTCCACAAACCAACAAAACAAAAATAATAATCAAATATCACTAAAAAAAGACAGCTGTGATGTCTGTAAAGCATACTCACTATCCCGCCCAAAACAAGAAAAGACGGATTCCATTTACTTGCTATGTAGCCACTCTCAGCCTCAGGGTTTTTAATTTGTTTGTTTGCTTATAAATCAGAAAAATGGGAACAGTATCATCTACTCATAAAACTGTTATGAGGTTTAAAAGAGATGAAGTTACACGAAAAGCCCTTTGTAAACTACAAAGTTCTTTTTTTTTTAGATTTTTATTTATTTATTGAGAGAGATAGTGAGAGAGAGAGAGCATGAGAGGGGGAGAGTCAGAGGGAGGGGCAGACTCCCCGCTGAGCAGGGAGCCCGATGCGGGACTCGATCCCGGGACTCCAGGATCATGACCTGAGCCGAAGGCAGTCGCTTAAACAACTGAGCCACCCAGGCGCCCCGTAAACTACAAAGTTCTATGCTCTTCTTAACATACTTAACTCTTCTATTCATACAAACCAACTTTTTAATAAACTTCTCAACACAGTATATCACTGAGAAGACTGTAGGCTTCCCTATTTTCAAATTCTCTAAGCAAGGGGCTTCTAACTATTTTGCTGGGTAGAGTTGTGCTTAGAGATATGTGACCTCTAGGTCTTTCATTATGATTCTAATAATGTAGTAATGCCATACCTCTGAATTTATTGCTAAGAAACACTGCTCTGTTCCTAAATTGGTATAAACCTTTTTTCCCATCAAAACTCAAGTTGTCTACCAAGTTTCTTTAACTAACAATAAGTCTATAAAACACTGTCCTCCCAGACTGAATTCCCTAAAAATGGACAGCTCAGTGTTCTCTATTTTTTTTTAAAGATTTTTATTTATTTATTGAGAGAGATAGTGATAGAGAGCATGAGGGGGAGAGTCAGAGGGAGAAGCAGACTCCCCACTGAGCAGGGAGCCCAATGCGGGACTCGATCCCGGGACTCCAGGATCATGACCTGAGCCAAAGGCAGTCGCTTAAACAACTGAGCCACCCAGGCGCCCCTTTTTTATTTTTATTTATTTATTTTTTTTTAAAGATTTTTATTTATTGCTCAGTGTTCTCTATACCAAATACTTACTTGGTGTAAAACTCCAGTTGTTTTTGTTTTTGTTTTTAATTAAGTAAACTCCACATCAAACGTGGGGCTCGAACTCATGACCCGAGATCAAGTCTCATGCTCTATCGACTGAGCCAGCCAGGTGCCCCAAGACTCCACTTTTGATCTATATATTACACAGAACACTGTTTAGAGTAGGTTTAATTTTTTAAAAAAAGAAGTAGAGGGGTGCCTGGCTGGCTTAGTCGGTGGAGCATGCAATTCTTGATCTTGGGGATGTAAGTTCGAGCCCCCACATTGGGTACAGAGATTATTTAAAATTAAATTAAAAAAAAAAAGTAGAAAGTCTTGACAGATCTATGTGTCCTTACTTGTCATGTGTCAAATACTAAAATATCACGTTTCAATTTGTACAGAAATGCTAGGAGATATAATAATATCTTTAACTTTTAACTAACAGTGCTAAAAATGATCACAGATACTAATAAATAAAGCTAATAGGATCACAGATACTAATAATAAAGCTCTTTAGTAGCACTTATTGAAAACTAATATTTCATAACATGAATAAAAATGACATAAAAATATAATATTTTTCTTATTTTCATGGAGGTATTTCTTTGGTGACACTCCACATGTCAACAGAAAATGCTACTGCACAAAGAACTTGGCAATCCTGATTTCAGAGGCTACCTTCCAACACTGGCAAGGTTACTATGCTCAAGTCTTGGTGTTAATAGCTGTTGACAAAAATCACCTTAGCTAGTGAGACTGATGTTTCCTAACCATTAGATTTATACATATGCATAACACAATTACATTTATGATAATGTCTGAATGTGTCTGAATAAAAAATATGTATCTCTTCTCTGTTTTGGTTTTTGGGGAACGGGCCAGATCCTTATTTAGAAAAAGAAAAGGAATACCTATACAGGTCATACCATCGCAACACAGTGTCAGTCAGGGTTTTGTGACAGCACTCTCTTTGTCATGGTCTGCTGCACTGTCTTGCATCTCTCTCTCTACCACCAATGTTCATTCTGATACGCAGCTTCTACCTCAGCTCCCTGGGCCCGCGCCTAGCTAACACACACATTCTTCTATTTCCTACCTTTCTTTACAGAAATCAAGCACATCTACTAAAATCAGCCCAACTATACCCAACAAGAACATTGCAAGTAAATTTAAAAACTCATAGAAATTCAGAATGAAGGAGTCTGGAGAGTAGTGTATAAGAGCACAGTGACAATGAGGCAGAGATTTTAGAGTTGATTGCCACATTTACTAGAATGCTATTTAATGACAAAAAATTGTCTAGATAAGCCTGGCCAGAATCATATAAATCTTTACTACACAAAGGGTAACACAAGAGGGTGTGGTGGTCTTGGCATAACCAATAAGTACTTAATAAAAGTGGAAGTTATGGGAGGATAGATTTTAGATCAATTTAAGGAAGAGCTAAGGATTAGAGCTGTACAAAAAAGGAATGGGTTACCTTATGAGGTAGTGGGCTCCCTGTCATTAGAAGTATTCAAGAATGCTGCATATCATATCCCCCTCTTGGAGATTCACAATGCACATTAGCATATTAAAGGTTCTGAGAAGTCCTGCAGTAAAGAAACCTGTTTAACTTTAACGCAGCATTTCCCAAATTATTTGACCACAGAACATTTTTCCCACCCCCACCCCACCTCAATAATATTTACTCATTTCTGTGGAACTAGAATTCCTCAGAATATATTACAGAAAATAATGAGCTACATTTTTTTAAATGTAGTATTCAATATGTACCCGAATAACAATCTGTCAGGGATATAGGAGAAGAAATTTCCACACTGGTAAAAGGCTGGAAGAGAAAGCCCTTAAGGTCCCTTCTCTAAGATTCTGTGATTCTATCACATCTCAAAGAAAAGGGCTATAGGGTTTTGATTATTTATTTAAAAAGGCTCCATGAGAGAAAGGCAAGTAAAATAAAAAGGTAGTAAAATGCAAGGTTAACTGGTTCAAATGCCTCCCCCTTTCATGTTCAAAGCCCAATCCCTAAAAGATAAGAGAGACACCTCAAGGACAGTGAATTATCAAAAAGAAGCCTTCACCAAGTATCTACTCCAGCCACTACATTAATTAAAATTTGAGAGAGAGAATTTAAAAAACAAAAACAAAAAGAAGTAGCCTCGTATTAGGGAACGATCCTATTCCAGCTCTCTGGTTTAATTTTTTATCATAATACATGCTCTCCAAATAAGGTTAATATTTGTTTGATCCTTAGTCACTAGACTGCCCTATGCAATCTGCGATCTTGAATTAGACATTCAAAAAAATGATTAAAGTGTGACGATTTATAAGCTGTTAGTGTAGATACTAAAGTAGATATTAGGAAAAAAATATGTTGCCTATATGCCCCCACACTGCTACATTTCACTCTCTCTCTTATTTTTTCCTCTTTTAGAATTATACAAACAACACACACTAAAAATGTAGTATCAGACATGAAGCCAATCCAGCAGTAAATTTAAGGATATAAATGCTTAAGATTCCCAAATTTCAAAGTCAAGGTTCCCATAGTTACATTAACCTAGCCATTTTGCACATACACTAAGGCCATCAAATTTAACAGCATATTAAGTAATACAAAACACAATAGGAACCTGAACTTTTGAAATTCCTGACTTTAGAATTTTCAGCTCTAACCACTGCATTAAGAACATTTTTGGTAAAGGGGACCTTTACATTTTAACAGGTTATCGAATGTAGGAACATGCAAGCCCAGCAGTATTATTAGAAACACAAACGCATTTGAGATACAGCTACGTGAAATTAGACAAAAATTCACTTTCACTCAGTGCAAACAGTAAAGCCTCATTTCTGGGAGAGAGCTTTTTTGAAAAAAAAAAAAAAATCACTGAACATCTGAATTATTACCCAACTAGCATCAGGCACACTATACCTGCCTCGTGAAAGTACTTACCAATTTTGGGGAAACGGGCTCTCCTTCAGCTCTCTTGCTCCCTACAGCAGAAGAAGGGGAAAATGCAATTAGACTACAAACACAGATTTATGACATGTCATTAAAGCTGAAGACTTACAGATTTCTGACTTTAAGAAGAAAAAACAAAACACACAAAAATCTCCAAAGCTTTTAACCACCACCCCACCCTACTCCAAAAATGGGAAAAGATGTAGTTTTCACAGCAAGGAAAAAAATCCAAAGGCAGTTAAATCTCTAATTTTCCATTTTTCACTTTTCCACAATTTTTCCAAGACAAGGAAAAGTAAGTAGTTGGCAGTCTCCCTTTCCTAAGAGACACACAAAAATAAAATGTACCTCATCTAAATAACACACAAATACAGGCTCATCCCCAACAAATGGGCTTCACTGTTCATTGCTTTATACTAACAAATTAAGGTTACATCACTGACCTTTAGTTTGGTCTTTAAAAGGTCTTTTTTCAATTAATCTTGAAATGGACTTGTCTGATACAAGGCTTTAAAATTAACAGCATTTTATTTGTATCATCATAATTTTTTTTTTTTAATTTTATTTATTTGTCAGAGAGAGACAGAGCACAAGCAGGGAGAGCGGCAGGCAGAGGGAGAAGCAGGCTCCCCGCTGAGCAGGGAGCCCGATGTGGGACTCCATCCCAGGACCCTGGGATCATGACCTGAGCCAAAGGCAGCCGCTTAACCTACTGAGCCACCCAGGCGCCCCTGTATCATCCTAATGTCAATTAAACTTTTCATTCACATTCTTCAAGTCTCACCAATTAAGACTGTAAGCTACGTAAACAAACATGCCTTTCTCTCTGCCACATATTTAATCAGTGATAGAGCCAGAAAGAAAATTAAGGTTTTGGGATCTCAATCTAATGCTCAATGATGCTTTTATTAATTACATTTTTTAAGATTAACTAAACTCCATTAAGTTGACTTCTAAGTTAAAAAGTCAAGTCAGGCTATACTGGTTTGTTTTTTGGGTTTGTTTCGTTTTGTTTTGTTTTGTTTTTTAAGATTTTATTTCTAAGGGGCGCCTGGGTGGCTCAGTCGTTAAGCCTCTGCCTTTGGCTCAGGTCATGATCCCAGGGTCCTGGG